TATTTTACATATTATCAATTCCACATCAAAGAAGTAATTGGCAATAATATTATATTAATTGATTATATTAATTATATTATATTAATTGAAACTAGGTCTTCTCAAAAAAATGGACCCATTACATTGCTAAATTAAATGTCACATGAGAAATATGTGACATGTCAGTAAATTTTTGTTGATCAGTAGTTATTTGGAAATTTAGATTGATAAAAAAATGTTAGTACTTAGTTTCCTGAAATAACCATCAAGCAAAAAATAAAAAAAAAACCTCATGAAATGGCATAAAATTGTCATCATATCTTCAGTTTTATTTAGTTTCTGCAATATTAACACAAACAACCGATGTTAAATGATCCATATTGTAATCCTTTAACTAAATAAACCAACCAGCAGCCTTGGATGACAGCTATGTTTGATATATCTTTGAAAGGAAACTGCTAAGTCAACATAAGAAATGGATATCCTTTTAATTTTGTGTTAGCCGTATTGATTGTTGTTTAATCCAATAAAAATTTTTATTATCCTTTACCATTGTAGAAATATTTTTTTCGGTGTAAACTAAAGAATAACTTTTGTTTCTAGCACCTATGACGTTCATAGGTCAAGCGGAAAGCAATGTGTCCACTTTATCTAAACTTAAGTATCTGCTACAAATATACTACTATTTTTTACTATTTTTACAAATTTTGTTGAATGCTTTTTTATTAAATATCTTATTTTCTGCTTATACAATTTTAGATTAAAAAATGTGGTTTAATAACTATATTTAATTATAAAATTGTTTATGATTTATTGTTTTTAAGAACCAAATTCGATTTATGTATTTTTGTAAGGGCTAATTGCTTAAACACCCTGAAGATGTCTATAAACTATAATCGAAATATTGGTGTCAATTTATAGATATTTTTTCTTATATTGAAAAAGTTTTATTTTTTTAATTTAAATAATGTAGTAAGTAATTATTTTAAATTAAATGTAATAAAAAATTTAATTTCTTGATAAATAGTTTTTATAACTTAACAACCACTAATCTGTGGTTAAAACTATCATTGACTGAAATAGTAATTAAGTGAAGCAAAACCCTTTTGCGTGAAATGCATCGTAATAGCTGTCTCGAAATGCTGCAGTAGAAATAAAATCTTCGCAAAAATAGTTTTAAATGAAGTTTCGAATTGAATGCACTTTTAAATTTTTTTTAAATTTTTGAAGTGCATGTTAAAGTATTTGAAAGTATGTGATCAAATTAATTACGATTGATATTGGAAATGCGTTGCTCAATTGCCAGAATGCTTCCTGGCAGGGTTTAATGCAGTCAAGAGTTAAGCGTATGCGGTCAAGCGTACAACCAACAATTTAAGCGTCTACTGATTTACCTCTCACGTAATTTCGTTTCGAGCGAATAATTCAGTTAATACGCGCACAACGATTTGTACGTAAGCATCAGCAATAATGCGATGCCATCAATGTCAGCCACATACCAGAAAACAAATGGGAAGATACAAAACACAATACGCATCGAGTTTCCATAGACAAACGGCATTGGTCGCTGGATGGGTGCATTTCAATTGCTAATCTTGGTCTTGCATTGCGGTCGCGCGACGTATACGTAACATAATTTCAGCTATCAATCGAGATAAGAAATTGAAAACGTACATTCGATTCAATTATAGTTCAACGCATCGAGTCAATTGCACGAAATTGAAATTAATATCGAATTAAATAAATCAGCTCAAATGAAAAGAAAAGCCAAGAGATGTGAATTAGTAAATTTTCTTGAAAATGCAAAAATATAAACTAAAGTGTTCAGGAAATTAAATTCAATTATAATTGTGCTCCAGAGCATTAAAATATGCTTCCTTTTGTAGATTGTAGATTGTATTTTGCTATCAATTAAAAACTATAAAGTCTTTATCCAACATTTATTAAGACGAAACGTTGGATATGGCATTTTGATGGCGTGATGTGGTAACGATTGGTGACATGAACAATCATCCAAAAATACTTTGTATGAACAATCATTTCCAATTGGCTAAAGACTAAAATGTCTGGAGCGACAAAGGAGATATATCTACATAGGTCATAAAGAATTGTAACGTTATGAGTGATAATATTGATATAAATATTTTTATTTTTACTTCTTCTCTAGTGTTGACAGTAATTTGTCTTGAACCAATTATCGATGGACATATAAGTGTATGGACTTATGCATAATATACAAAATTTTTTTCATCAATTTCACAGATTTCGATAAGACCAAACATCGATGAACTTATGAGTGCATGGACTTATACATAATTTCATCCATCAATTTTACAGTGATTCAAAATTGACTACTGTAAAATTAATTAAAGAAATTGTGTATATTATGCAAATCCTTACTGAATCGATGATTGGTCCATAGAATACAGTGAATAATTAGCACTTTAGCATAATAGAGTGCTGAGAAAATAAGTTGGTTTTAGTTACTTATGATTTTGAATATGAATTTCGCAGTAGTAATCAATCGATTCTTTACTTAATTTCAGAATTTTCCCACATCGTGTTATAAACTTTGATATACACTTAGTATGTTCTTTCTAAATATAAATATATATCTATTTCTAAACTTAATTAAAAGGAATGTAAAAAGTATGTGATTTATTTAAAGTCAAAATTTCTATATTTATAAGATATCTGGAATGGATTCGTTAATCTAAAATACTTCAAGTAATGCTATAGTATTAGGTCTTTGTATAATTCTTTGTCATTAAACATGATTCATATTTACTAAAACTTGGCTGGGGTTAAAAATTGTTCCACATTGCTTCTTCAAAATATATTATTATTGGGCTTGATTTCATAATATTGATTGATCCTGTCAAAGATTAGATAGTTAATCTTTTTTTCTAGAGTTATCTGGTCTAATACAAGTATTCTTTTTTGGTGTGCTGTCATTTGGCTCTTAGATTGCATTTTAATCTTTATACAATAGTTTAACTACAATAACTGTTCGCCAACTCCGAAATGAGGCAAAAAACAACAGCTTGCTCGTTTAAAGTCGTTAATATGTACGTAAAATAACAATACTACTTTCACTATCTAAATGAGTAGTTATGAAGTGCCCAAACATTTTAGTGACTGCAGAAAAACTGTTACCAAAGCGATAAGCGATTCATTGTGAACCATTATTTATTTCAACAAATATGAAATCAAAATTTCCTGTAATCTAAACATTGCTTTTAGTTCATTTCACATTTTAATTTACAATTTTATATTAATTATTAATTTTTATTTAAAATACGGTTTGCTTGCATTACGTTTAAGAAAGTTGTAAGATGTACTTTGCGAGCACATAACATATGACAGATGGCAACAGGGATGCCAATTTGTTACTTAGCGACTTTAAGCGAGCAACTTGTTATTTTTTTGCCCCACTTCAGAGCTGCCGAATACAATATTAAAATATTCAAATATCTTGCATCAGAGATCGCTTTCTCTATTCTATATCTATGTTTTCTTATCTAACCTACATATAACTATAGTATTTTTCATAGGCATTAGAATGTCTAGACTTTGCACTGTGTTAATCCTTTAATAAGTGACTTATTGTTTAGTGTTGTTTAAGTGTGCTTTACATTATACAATACTTTTTTTGCAATATACAGTATATTGTGTAAGTTATAAATAAATCATTTCAATCATTGTTTCAGTATTCTGTTTACTAAATTAATTAAAAATATTTATTCAAGTATCTCGCGCCTTATATCGCATTGTCTCGTCTATATCTATATATATTTATCTAACTTACATTAAACTATGTTACTTAAGATATTCATATAGATAAGATATATTAGCATATCTACACTTTATGCTGTGTATAGTTAAATCCTCTTATAAAGTAACTTACCATATATCGCATTGTCTCGTCTATATCTATATATATCTATCTAACATACATTAAACTATGTTATTCATGATATTCATTAGCATACCTACACTTTATGCTGTGTATAGTTAAATCCTCTTATAAAGTGACTTATTGCTTAAGTATACACAACACATTTTATAACAATTACCCTATTCTCTAAGCTATAAATAAATTGATTTTAATCACTGTTCTAGTATTCTATTCACTGAACCAAGCTACAGAATTTATTTCACCTTCGCTTTCGTATAAAAAATTTTATTAATTGCATGTATCTTTCATTCGTGGCACTTCAAACTTCAAACTACAAAATGAAAACATGTAATTATCGTGTATCAAATAAATTTATGTAATAAAATTAAAAACCCTCATTAACACCAAACTACGTACAATTTTCGCAACTTGTTATGTTGTTGCTCAAATCGTGAAGAAAACAAAGTACGAGTAAATACTACAAGAGCAATATCAACAATAGCAGCAATAATAGCTGGCATTCGCTAGAAAGGCATTCGCGATAAGTGCAAATAAAACTTGAAGTAGATCTGTGGAAGCATTCATTTGAAAGTGAACTGAGAATTCTGCACTTTCATTAATTCCCTAATACGTGCAATTGCGCTTGCAACAAATTGCAAAGCAAAGTATCGCCAGAGTCGATGTTGCCAACCGCTACTGCTGACTCTTTAGACTCATTCGACTCTTCCGACTCTTCCGCCTTTGCCACGTTTGTTGCCGGTGTATATCAAGTTAAACGTGCGCATTAATCTTCTAATTTAGCGTTGTGAATTCAATGCACTCGATTCCACTGAGGAAACTTCAATGAGCCTCAATTGAGTTTAAAAGGAAACGCAATCATCTTTGTGATACGCGCACAAATGCGCTTTTCAAAATGTTATCCAACAAAACACAGCGAAACACAATGCAACGACACGATTCATTTCTCAGTTTCTCGTTAAAAATATAAATAATTGAGATTATTAGACAATTCGTCCATTTATTCCAGTTTACCGAGTATATGTTATCTATAAATAGCATTTTATTTATTACGAAACAAAGAAAAAGTATAGTTAAAATTAATTTTATTTTCATTTTATTCCAGATTTCAATTAATTTATCATTTGACCTCCAAATTCAGTGTTAAGGTAAGTTTAAACATCACAAAAACATATCATGTATCTAATAAGAATATCATTATTATTATTAATGAATAAAAGAATTATAAATGCATTATTTGTGCTTGTTAAAGTTTAATAAAAATATTTATTAAATACATCGCTTCAAAGAATACATCTAATGTTGAGCCTTTTCCGAGTAAGTGCATTTGGGCACTTTTACACTTTGTTAATTTGTGTATTCCTCATATTCCTCAAGCTTCGTGATTTTTTAATGACTGATCTAAGATCTGCGTACCGTCCCGAGTGGTTAGTGTATATACAACTAGCAACCAAATCTGTTTATCGGTTATCAAAATCCAACTTAATACCGGATTGTACTTCGTAATCCGTTTGTAAGCAAATCGAATATCGAATACTGTTATTCGATATTACCATACTGCCATATTTTTCCGATAAAAATGTCTGTAATAAAAACTGAAATGGCTTGTATATTGACGGATTAATTAATGACATGCAATGACATTTATTAACAAATGACTACAGCATTGCAAATTTTGGAGTCTGGCATACGGTACCATTGATATTAAGTTTGAAGGATCTTGCCTCTAATTCCTTATGCCTTCCCATGAGTTCAGAGTGCGATTTTGAGTCGAATTTCCTCAATGAATATTAATTAAATATGAATATATGCAGTTTTGAACCCACTTCACCCAGGTCCAAATTCTTTAATCGATAATGGCCACGTAAGCACCTTTTTGTTTGCTGAGCAAAACTTTCGAGCAAAGCTTCTAAGCAAATCTGAGTTTACTAAGAGCCGAGCAAATGTCCAGCCTGTATTTCGGAATTTCACTCTCTTTTTTACCAGCAAACTAAGTTAGAATAAATGTTCGGTCTTCTTTAGACATAATCAATATCCTTTCAAAAATGCTATCATATTTGTTGTATTATTTTCATACAATATAATTAGTAAAGCGTTTTATGTTAAGTTTCTGAGAATACCCCAGGATTAATTGTTTTTATAATAAAATTTTTTATATCAGGCAGTCATCATTTTCCCAAATACTAATAGTTTCCCAAGCTACGAGCATATGAAAATTGTTTTTAAGTCAACTCGATTCCAGTATAAAACCCCAGAAACTAAACACACCTAAAATTATGATGGGTATAAACGTGACTAAAGCTCATAGGTTAAGAAAGTGTTAGAACATGGCAAAATGGCGGCTCTTTATTATACAACAAATACATTTTAACCCATTTTTCAGAACCATCGTGATATAAACTAAAGCGTCATGGATTTCAGGTTGTGTGAATTCAAGTGTATGAGAATTTATTAAAAAGATAATATGGATTTCAGATTATTTGAATCCAATTTTATCGGAATCTGTGCAATAAAACTTACGGTACCATATGCACCACCTTAAAGTTTTGAGTTACCACAGTGTGACAAAGAGGAAACAGGTCCTTAGAAAGTAATATACTTTTGCTTTTAGATAATTTAAGTAATTCCAAAAATATTTGTATTTTATTAGACGGTAGAAATGCATTTACAAATAATCTGGATATGTAAAAATATGGTGCTTCGATTCATTTGATTGCAGTTCAGCCTCTCAAGCACTGAGACAGTTGTTCCTGATTCTAATAGATAATTTTGTAAATTTTTATATTAAATGTAATTTTTTTATATTAAATGTAATTTATTTATATTAAATGTAATTTTTTTATATTAAATGTAATAGTCAAAAAAAATTCAAAGTGCTATAAAAAATATATTTGAATTAAATTTTATTATATATTAAATTTTTTATTTTCCATATCCTGTCTGATTCAGGACTACTCAAGGCATTTGTGGCATTTACAAAATATTAAAGAAAATTTTATTTTTATTGTTTTGCCAATTTATTTCAGTTTTGCAAATTTTGCATTAAAATTTTCCTTCGGTGTGAAATAATTGAAATGCTTAGCAATCTGTTCGCACGCATGAGACTTAAGCAAAATATCTGGAATGCAATTGAGACTTGTAAAATCCAACATCTGCAGATGCAATTCTGCAGACTTCTCGTCGTGTTGAGATAAACATTGCTCAGCATTCGTACAGTTTGTTTAGCAAAATAGCAAAAGCTCTAAATGCAAACTATTATCAGAATAAGTAAAATGTTTAATAAAACAAACACGCGTGAAATGTAACTTTACAACAAAAATGCATTTGTTGCATACTAAAATGCAAATGTGCAGAAATTGCAGTTGCAATTGCAGCATTTAAAATAGTTTTCATTACAAAAATATTTAAATTTTACATAAACAAACATACAAACTCACACATATAAAAGGCAATACTAAATATTTTGAATTTTATACCGAAAAATGCTTATATGAAATGCATAAGTGCAAAATTTTGTCTGAACATAAACAAAATATTTACATGGAAATGTTTGCAACCAAAATGTAAATAAACTAAAATTAAAAAAAATTAAAAAAAATAAAAAAATTAAAAAAAATTTTAAAAACAAAAAACTATAAAGAGCTGAGCGTGACTAAAATAATTTCAATTTCATTTTTTAATAAAAAAATTTAATTTAGTAACGAAATTTGGGTCAACCTTTTGTGCAGTACAAAGCCATGCAACTGCAAATCTGGCATGTGTCATCTAAGGTCAGCAGGTCATACTTGTTAGCTCGTATTGATTGAAAGGAATTCTATGTAATATATATATATATATATTTATATATTTATTTCTATTTTATATAAGTTTTAGAAAGAGCTTATTTTTACAATTTTATTTAAAATTGTAAATCAATTTAAACCAAACTGAGCAACAATTTCAATGTTATAACCAATTACATTTGCTATTGAATATTTTCATTTCTAAATGTTAATGAAATTATGTAGTTCCCTTTATGATTGCAATCCATTTTGGTTTTAATATAAAATTTTCATTGATTTTCCAATGAACTGAGAACCGCACATGCACATTTTGCAGTTCAGTTTGATATCAATTTTTAATTAATTGGCGATAAATTTCGAATTGAAGTGCAAATGGTTTATTTATTTTACCATATTTTGATTTTATTTTATATGTAATTTTTTTGATAATTTTTATGCTATTTAAAATATTAAAATGTCAATAGGCATATATGCCAAACCGCAAATGTAACAAATTAAATGTAAAAGTCTTTTTATGAACATTTTAATGAATTAATTTATGACTTATTAACAAAAGTGCAATTAATTAATTGTAAATTCAATAATTTAATAATTATTACTTTTTCATTTTAGATATATAAATATATTGCAAAATTTTGTTTTATTTTAAAATAAAAAGTATTTCATTAGCATAATAAAGTTATATGTGGTAATGATACTTTAACTAATATATATATATAATACAAAGAGGCTTATATATACATTTCCAAATCTATTATAACTGCCTCTATTTAGAATAAAATAGAAAAAAATTATCAAAGTGTTTTTCAATGACTATTACATATATTTTAATTAATTGATTGATTAATTAATTAATTAATTGTTTTCTTATATAAGAAATAGGTTTTTCCTCAAGCCATATTGGATATTGTCTTAAAATTTTGATATTATATTTATAGACTATTAAGGATTAACACTACAATCGTAGACCAGCGTTGATCAACCTTATTCAAATTGTTAATAACATTTGCAAGAATTTAGAGTTAATAGAATGAATTGGAAAAGGAATAAGTATTTAGCCATTGTCTATAACATTAAAATATTGAATATAGATCCCAAAATACAGTACAACATGGCTGTCTAAAGCATAACCTACGGGCCTCATGCGGTCCGAGACATGTTTCTAATCTATCACAATTACATATACATTTTTTTTTGTTATATTTGGGTAACTTCATATTATTTCAATAATTAAATGTTTTAAATTATTAGACTTGAGAGAATACAGCTTAAAATTAAATTGCAATAAAACCAAATACATGGTGGTATGTCAACGACCTATTTCTGAAGGAAGACTGACAGTATTTAGTTTAGCAATAAAAAGAAACGATAAGTCCAACTACTTGAAATGCCACCTTGATGAGCAATGGGAAAACATTAAAGAAATATGGGTCCGAATTGAAAAAGCAAGATGAAAATCTTGTTGTGTTCCCAGGAGCTATCATTACCGCTCAGAATAAGAATGCTGCGATGTTATATATTCTCTATACTCCTCTATGGGACAGAGGCCTGACCCTTATCTGCTGTATCGATGAATACAAGAATTATAAAGAGACAGAAATACTAGCAATAGTAAAACGATGAAAGTTGAAGTTTTTCGGTCATATTCTGAGGCAATCGAAAAAGTACGGACTACTGAAATTAGTCATTGAAGAGAGAATTCAAGGTAGACGTAGCCCTGGAAGACGGAAGATATCATAGCTGAAGAATATACATCAATTGTTCAATAAAAGTACAATATCAATTTTTCGAGATGTTGTAGATAAAGTCAAAATCGCAATCATGTTAGCTAACTTTCAAAGTGGGCAAGGCAGCTAGAAGAAGAAAACACTTCTCGTTAATTGATAAAGACTTTGATATATACTTCTTTGTACAATTGGTTCAAAAAAATCATATCTCATGCCGTAAATTATTACATTAAAAATAAAATATTTTTCGAATGACAATAACTAATATTTATAATGTTGATAGAATTGTGAAACATGGATTAATGAAGAATTAATAAAACTAAATTTAACATGATCGCTATAATTTAATTTTTCTCCGACAAAAATATGAACGTATGTATTTATTTCTGAAACCCTCCAACCTATTCAGTGATTTGAATTGGCTTACTAACTTATGTTATTTGGTCTGGACAGCCCTGCAGTACAATATAGTATATTTGAAAAGTTGGCGATCTACGAGTTGGTATGAAGTTATAGTAGCGATGACTATGTAATTATTTTCAAAAATTTTTCAAAATAAATAATTATTTACAAAATTAACAAAAACCTCTTTATCTTGAAAGAAATTTGGAATTGTTTTTTTCTTAAAATAAATCTATACGGTTCCAGTACTTTTTTGAAATAAAAGGCAACTAATTCGACTACTCTCTTTATAACTTTAAAATTTTGAATATTCTAGTATACCATCCATATTCTTTCCATTTGCCATTAATTCTGCTTGTGTTAATATTTGTTTTCTCCTCTTCACAATTGGTTCCTTGGCTATAGCAGAGCAATTGGTCTGCTTAACAAAAGTACGGGTGAAATATTGTATATTAAAATAAGCCATTAGCATTTTCTTAATAAGCATAAAATTTATGGCACAATCGCTCTTCTCTCCAATTTCAAAATTCAAATTTATGCAAATAATTTAATGACTGCCTTTTGATAATTTTGAATTACACTTTAGGAGTACAGGAATTAAATATTTGCTTTGACTTAGATTTTTATGACCTCTAAGTTGGCTTACAAATAATTTGCCTTCCATGAACCAATTTTCTTCAAACAAAAAAAAAATTTTATTTTCCTGCTCAATTTCTTGAGATTTTATCTTCCTTCACAGTTGTAAATACAAAATAAAACTGAATAGCATGGAGAAGACTAGAGTATAGTCGAGCAGAGTAGAGTGGAATGGAGTTGAGTGTAGCAAAGCAGAATTTATTTCAATTTAACTGCTTTATTTAGCCGAGTATCGCTTCAAAGGCAAATAATAGTAGAGGGAACTCGAAATTCATACAAAGTGAGGTTATGTGCGAGTCTGGCTGTCTATTCAGCAGTCCATTTTTCCTTTCAACTGCCACTCCAACTCTGGGTTAACATGCATTTTTGGTTGACAAGTCATTTTTTTCTGTGGTTTCTGTTGGTTTAACCGAGTTAAGTGTGTCTTTTCTTACTTTTCAATTTTCAATTTTCCACCGCAGAAAAACGTAAGACACGTAAAGCAATAAAACGCCAACAACAAAAAGTGCAATTTTTGGCTAAAATTTGGTTGAAATTATCTTAAGTACGAATGTGTATTTGCGGAGATAAACGAGCGATTGAAAAGTGGAACTCCAAAAAAATGAACGAACTATAAAACATGTTTAAGTTAAGATATATAAATACACAATTTTTCGTAAACATCAAATGAAACTCTTGGCATTAAGTCTAAGGAAATTGAGCTGGAAATGCATTTGCAAAAATCATTAAAAAAAATACTAGAAAAAAATTTTTAATAAATACCAGATGAAAATAAAAAAATGAATAAAATGAGATATAAAATTGTAAGATTTATGCGAAATGTGCATTTTTAAATAATTTTTACATTTTGCTTATTTTTCTAAATAATTTTTTGTATATTTTTATGCTTTCGTGTGAGATACAACGTGCTTTTCCGCTCTAGAATGGTTTTATTATGGTTTGGTTTTCAAGCTCGCAGTACCTTGAGCCATTTAACAAGGATAATAAAAAATAATTTAATGCATTTTTTTAAGTTGCTTATTTTATTTTAGCTTTTTATTTAACGCAAAAATCAAATTAATTTTTTTTTGTTGAAATTTTTAATTTTTATTTTTATTTATTTTTCCCAATTTTCCTAGTCCCTTTCAAAGCAACTCTAAATATCAGCCAATTTACGCTTGGGTCCAGACTGTCTAATGAAAATATATTTTTACCAATGTCACTAGCTTCAAGGATATCAAAGTCTGTATATGTAAGTAATGTCGTTTCTGTTCTATGTTGGTTCTTTGTTATGTTAAGTAAAAATTCAGTTGTATCTGTATATTCTGTGAGTTTTTTTTTCAAATTTTGTTATAAAAATGTTGCCTGATTTTCGTGCTTTTGTTTGCTTAATACCTTTTAATAACAAATTTTAGAATTTGTAGTTAGAACATTTAGAACTAATATATTTTATGCGATACTTCCGTACATAATCCAATCGGGTTTAATATGAAACTACCGAGTTGTGTTTTATATAACATAAATTATTTAAATTATTCTTGTTATTTAGATTTTGTTTAATGTTTCTATTATACTTTTCTATATTCAAAGAAGTTGTATAAGATCGTATATTGTGCTCTTTTAGATGATCAACAAAATTTATACTTTAACTCGAGGCATGAAATTACTATTACTGAAATTAGTTTTGGTGTCCTGGGTATAGGAAAACAATGAAATAAATGTATTAATTTTTTAATACATAATATTAATTTTTAGAGAAATATTTAAAAAGATGACTGGATGAATATAAAACCCACATAACTAACTATGATTAAAAGGAATAATGGGACAGTGTGACATCTGTGAGTGTTATGCCTTTCCTATATGTCCAACAGAACCAATAAAATCTGTTGTATTATTCCTGGAGAGAAAATTCGAAAAAAGTTCAACAAAAGTTAGATAGACGTACTGGTGCCATATCTTTGCAATCGCAAAACATAAATAAATATTTTGGATGGATATTTCATTTTTTAATAAAAAAGAAGTTTCTAAAGGAACTTTAAACAAGTATAACTTAAATGAAGTGAACTGTAGTTTATTAGACTTAATAAAACTAGTGTTCTTGTTTTAGTAGTGTTTTTTAATAAAAATATTAGAAAACACTACGCTGAGCATCGAAAGCATTTATTTTTCAAAAAACCAGGAATTATGAATTTTTTATTTTCTCAAAATAGTTGATTGAATTGTGGTTAACCTTACAAGACCCAAATAGTTCATTATAGATAAGACAACCTTTTTTGGTCTGTGTCTCAGAATCTAGTTCACTTGCCTGATCGGAAACGTACTAACTTTATGATTTTTAATATCGGAAAAAGAATCTATATTTGACAATGAACATGAGATCACTACAGTTTGTGGACTCTAAGGAGATTGATGTCTGTCTACTAAAGTTTGACTGAAAATAGAAATATTCAGAATTATGATTATATATACATAAATTGTGAACATCTATTGCGATACAAATTTATTAGAAACATTGGAAATTTGAAGTTCCTATTTACATAAGCGATCTCTTCTCACTTATTAGTTAATTAAACTATTAGAGGTTAATCCATTAAGTTACGAACTATTATTTCATTTCTAGTCTATTATAAGGCCATACTTTCGTAGATATCTAAGCGTACATAGTAATTAATGTGTGACAATTTGACATAAAAATTGCTGTTTTTATATGGTATGACTGTTTTCGCAGTGCTCCGCTCCGTTGGGAGCTAGTACCCCGTGCTTTCCTATTCCTATGGCTGTTTGCTTGTTTTAAGTTTCAGCAAAACTTCGTTTTATGTTTTTGGAAATATGTTTTTTTATTTTTCACCAACTTGAGTGGTCGACAAATAATATTACTTATGTACGATTTATATTCAGAATATCTGCTAAGTTCATTCTATAGTAGACTTCCTTATCTTAATTTCCTCAAATCTAGGAATATTCCATGGGAAGTGTTCAGTCTAGTCTTTATCTGCATTTTCCTTGCAACTTCTAGTATTATGCTTGAAGCGTAAACTCTTATTATTGCTTGGATATATATTGGTCCATAAGCTATCAGTATCATCACGAACTATTTCTGTTTAATTGTACCTTTATTCAGAAGGACTTTGATTTTCAGTAAAATGCAGTTTAGCAATGTGAGTTTGAATTTTTCATCCACCGTGCTGTTCCGTTTATACTCTGTTAATCATACAAAATAATCTTAAGTATATTCAATATACTTTCCTTTTGTTTGTATTTTGGATTTGTAAACAATATTGACTTGATTTAAGCTTAGTCCGTGTAGAATGTAAGTGTACCCAAAAAAACTGTCGAGGTGTTATGGTAATGTATAATATAAATATAAAATAAAATGGAAAAAACTTAATGAATTAAGTGCCACGTTCTGTAGGTCAATATTTCTTAAAATTTGTAGCACGAATATAAAATCTTCTTAACCAATGATATAGTCATTGGTCAAGAACTTATATCTGGCATTCTCTTTGTTTATATTTTTCCTATAATGTGGGAAGTCTACAAAGTTACTTCTTCACATTGGTGCCTAAAATGTAAAAATGCCGTTTTGAATCAATTTGAAGGCAAGTTTATTACGAATCAGCCAATAATTATTTTCAAATTTATGCACTTTCATGTATCTGTATCTGTTTGTTGATCTGTGCGTTATTCTGCAACTAAAATGCATGCTAAATTTCCGCAATTTAGATTTGTTAATTTATTTTCCAAACAATTTTGTGCAAAATTAACTTAGCAAAGTTGCCTTTAAATTTATTGAAGTTAACGCATGATTGCTTGTTGTTACAGTTGACAAACTCACTAACCGAACTGATAACAAAGAGAAAAAATTAAATTGAAGTGAAAAAATTGATAAATGTAAAAAAAAATAAAAATATTCTCAAATAATTTGAAAAATGTTTAGGTTGACCAAAATGGTAAACGCACGGAAATGGCGCAATTTGCAAAAAATGACTCAACCGCAAAGCGTAATGAGAATTTGAGATCCCTTTTTGCTACGAAAAAGCAACAAACCAGCAGCAATAGGCAACGAACAGTACAAAGAGAACGACTAGAGGAAGATGAAGAGTCATTATGGATGCAAAACCAGTATGGACAAGACCAAATTGGCAAAGGCACAAATGAAACGGATCTGGAAGTTGATTGCAATAACCAAAAACGTAGAAGCAGCAATAGCAGCAGCTGCATACGACGTTGGCATGTTAATAGGCAAAGTACGGCTGCAAAGGATATGGCACTGCTAAAGAGCGTTGTGGATAAAAATCAATTGGCAGTGGCAAAATATCAATCAACAGTACAGCATAATGCTTATATACACAATAGCAGCGGAAATGTGATTGCAGCAAGTAACAATAACAATAAGAGCAATAACGACAATAACGAGAATAACGACAACAACAATACAAAAAGTTACAACACTCCACTGTGCGACAATCAAAGCAATTACGCTTTGGCAACAGAGATATTTGCACGAAATTCGACTACTGCAAGTGCATTTATGCCAACACTGAACACTGAACTGCGGTCTGAACCCAAAAATTGGCAGCTAAGTAACGAACGAGAGGTGAATGCAAAAAAATACTTACCAACAGAAAAGTGTATACAGCAGCAGCAAAGGCAGTTGACGCCTGATACCATTACTAGTAAAGGCGACCTATGCTATATTGCACCAACGCCTTATAACTTGACAGAAAATTTTATTAGCAACAACAACTGTAATGCACGGTATGACAATAAAACAACAAACAATAGCAATTGCAATGGGAATAATGGCAACAACAGCTGCTATCTTAATTCCATTGTGTTTAATGGTTATGACTACTCCGATGATGGTGGCTACAATTATGACTATGAATATGGCGTTGAAGATTATGCTACTGACAATGATGAAAAAGTGCCAGACGAAGCACTCGAATACAAAGCAAATATTAAATACAATAAGCCATTAACAGAACAGCAAGAGCAGCAGCAGCAGCAACAGCAGCAACAGCAACAGCAACAATTACAAGAAAAGCAAATATTTGCACAAAGGCCAGTTCAACATCATCAGCAATACCATCAGGAGCACCAACACCAACACCAACACCAACACCAACAGCAACAAAAATTAAATAAACTGACAAATGTCAATGGCATGTCTGCCATGATGAAAATTCGATTAGCACAAAGCAAAAAACAGACCAGCAGAATGTCAACATCGATTGACTGTAAAACGGACATGAACACACAAACAGGCTGGTTGCCAAACGGAAATGTCAGAGCATCCGTAAGTACCAATAACATCAGCAACAACATCCTTAACAACAACAACTATCACTACGATTACAACAATGATAGTTGCACTAACAAGGAAGTCGATTACCAGCATTTAGAGACAGCGCGCCAAAAAGCTACTAAGCCACATCAGGAGAACACCTTCTGGATGCAAAATGACATTGTGCAGCCGGAAAGTAAATGGCGTTCATTTTCCTCTGAAGACATTACCGACCGCGTTAGTGCACAAAATGAAAGGTAACACAAAAATGCTATAACTATTGCACCCTCCTCCTTATAAGTGCCTAAAGTTAATGCGAAAATTCCGCAGTATCATAGCATTTTTTATTTATGGCTTAACCATTACAAACAATTTTAATATGCAATGCAGTTTAAGGATGCAAAAAAATAACGAAATATTGAAAATTTCCATTGAAAATAAAAATAATTAACAAAATTGAATTATTTATGGCGTTGACATTTTATGCATTTACATGCAATCTTTTTTCAATTTTTCAGTAACAAATTATTTAATTTGTTTCATAAAAAAGTTCATTTTTTGTAGTCCTTCGAAAAAAAACTCAATCAGCAATGTATTTCATGTGTATTCCATATTCTATTTACATATAAAGTCATAAGTCGCATTTTCTGCACAAAAATTTATTATATATTGAAAAAATATAAAATATAAAAAAATATTTAATATTCTTGTTTGTTTGGATTACGATGTGTACAATATATCAGTAGATATATGCATATATACATATATTGTACGTATTACAGTAATTATAGGTGTAGTTGCTGGAAACCAACAGATTATGGTTTTCGTTCACTATAGTTTAACAAATTATTTAATTAAATCATAAATTGTTGCATTGAGCAAAAACTTTATAAAAAATGTTTATAAATCTGTGTAACAATATTTTTAATTATATTCATAAATTGAATTATTATAAAAGGTTTTACTTTGTACTAATACTATAATTAATTAATTTAATATGAAAGTACTTCATATAAATTTCATTTTTTCCAAACTTTATACAACTTGTTTATAATGTTCTGATGTTGCAGCAACATGTTGCCAACTGATATAAACTTAGGAATTGTAATTTAAAATAATATTTCTTATTTTTATATAATATGTATATACCAAGGTTTATAGTTTGTTTAATTTAAAAGATGCTTCATTATGAGTTAAATTAGCTCTTTTGCACTTTTTTGTCGAATATCCTCATTAAAAACGGATTATGCCGTTGTTTGTGTATATAACACATGAGGGAGGAAGCTTTTTTTCCACAGCGAAGTTTTTCCATAGTCACAACCGACTTAAATCGTGTTACTTGAAGTAGTAGTTTTGATAACTGAAAAGTCAGAGAAGGTCATACTAGGTGAGTATGATGCTTAATTGATTATATTGTCAATCGTACAGAATAATGGCTTTATGCCATTTATACATTTATAATTATAAAAACTGTAGATGTAAATTATTTGTAAATAGATCGAGTTAAAATCTTCCATGATAACACAATATAACGGTGGTATCTTTAACTACAATTTTATGTATTAGAAATTCTGAACACCTTTTACAGAAAACTCTTTATTAAAACATATCGCAATATGAAGTAAACAAAACTATTTCTAACTTTTATTTTAAATTCACGGTCCTACACGTTCTTAAAACAACTTATTTATAAAATAATCATGATATTATTGTTTTAATAGACCGAATAATACACTCCAAGTGTATAAGTGATTTAGAACTAGGCAACATTATTTTTTCTTATAAATTATCATTAACATCATTAACGATAACATCAACATTGTCATCTTCAGAGTAACTGAGTGAATTTTAATTATAGATAACCTGCATCATTCTTCGTAAAGTAATGAGGTCTTCAACTATATTATTGAAATTTTGTGTTGTCTTCACATCAAGGTAGCTCTATAGCTAAGGGAAGCGAAAATTGTTTTCATAAATAAACGTTATTACCTTCCTTTCTCTTTATAATCTGATATTTCATTACTTTACATTAATTGCATATTAGATATTGCTTAGAAAGAGCAGTACTACAAAACAATCTGTTGACCAAAATATTTGTAAAGTTCACGCTAACCTCGTGGATGCAGTATTATTATAAAGGTTATTATTATTCAGGTATGGTCATATCGGCCTTTCTGTACTATTAAGAAACAGTAGGACGGTGTTGGATGGTGTAGCATAAGGAATCACCATCTTACTGGTTTTTAATAGTACCCATCGCGTTATTGAAGAAAGCGACATTCGTATCATTCGGGTGTAATAATTTGTTTTTATCCGGAGCAGCAGATCTGTGAACAATTGCGATTTTGAAGTGGATCTTTAATCTTATACCTCACCAGAATGAATTTATGGCTTAGTTTTCTAGTATGAAGACCATTTTGACAATTCTTTATTAATTTTTTATTTCATTAAATATTTATGTCTTAAAATCTTAATGCAGAAAAGTATGTAACCTGAATTTTGATGATTTTATACTGAAATTCCAAATTTGACATTTCAATTTACAATAAATTGAATTGTAACAAAATGTTAACAAATAAAAAAATCTGTTTTTAACTTAATTGATTTATTTCATTTTTTTTTGTTATATATTTGAAACATAAAAAACATTTCTTGTGTTTGAATTTAAAAACAAAATTAATTTATTTTACAAATATTTATATTCTAAAGTGTATGAAATAAAATAAAAGCTCATAAACTATTTATTTTAAAATGATTTTTTTTTATAGAAACATTATTTAAAACATTGAAACAAATTAATTTACTTGCTGTTTACTACAATATAGAAAATTTTATTGCATATCGAAGCACTTAGCCTAATTTCCTTAATTTTTTTCTGATATTTTTTTTTAATATGAGCATTTAATTAAATTGCAAACATCGAATACATTTTTCAAAAACCAAAATAAGAAAAAATCGAATTGTTGACCAATATATCAAACGAACATTTCTTCAATTTTTGGCAATATATTTCAATTCCCCAAACACAGATAAAAGCTAAAATAACATTTAAAAGTATTAAATTTTTATCTGAAATAAATGGTAGAAGAGTTTTTAGTTGCCAATGGTGACTTCAATTGCCTTTACAGTTTAGAATAAAAAGCGATTAAAATTAAATAAAATGATGGAATGGTTATAGTCATAATTTATAAAAAAGAAAAATTTAATTATTTTAATATTTTAATTTATTTTTGTTTATATAATTATTATTTTTATATATTATATTGTAAAAATGAACGAAATCATTAATGTTAAATAAAGAAAGTTACACCAGTCACTGAAAAGCTACAAGAATACTGAGTGAGATGTTATGACCACATATATATATAAGATTAAAGCTATATGTGAGAAAAGCTATGAGTATTAAAAAATCACCCAGAAATAGAGCACTATTACAGACTGCCCCGTTAGGCACAGTTTTGAGAACATGGAGAAGGCTTGAAGCCAATAATAACCTAATACTGTTAGTTTACAGAGATCTGTTTTATTTTTTTTATAAGTGCTTGCAAATAGGATATATTCTCTTCAATTTACTTTTTGAAAACATTGGGACCGATTGCTATGCCTTCTTGTTGTAGAAAAGAAGCTACATCTAGAAAATGAGATAGCATTGGATAGAAGATTCTAAAGCATAGGTGGATCAACTATGCATAGCGATATGATAAAACGGAAAAAATTCAATATCTGTAAATATTTTAATTGTCTTTTTGTACAAAATTATTACAATTGTGGGATTATTTTATAAGTTTTTAGTCGAAACTAAGTAAAGAAATCATATACACCCGACGTTAATGTTGTGTTAGGTGAATCAACTAATTGACTGCATTTATTATTCCAATTTACTTTACAATATAGCTATTTAATTAAAATAATAAAAATTCTTAATTGAAATTAATTTTTTTTTTGCTTTCAAGAGAATGCTTTCATTCAATTAACTAATAAAAAATACCTCATATAAATCGTAGAACTATTTTAAATTACTGTCATGCCGTAATAGAAACGACTTAGGGTATCGAGTTGTTTGAAGCAATATTTCAAGAGTCTTGTTAAGCACTTCACACGCTGACAATGACCCTAAAAACGGACTACAGTAAAAATAGCAACAATAGTTATAAGAAGAGCAATGTCGGCTGTTGCTGTATCGCAGTAATAAATATTGTTATTGATACCGAAGAGTACCAATAACCAATCAAGAATAACCGATGCAACAGTATCGGCAACAAATTGAAAGTGTCAATGTGACATTTATTTGATATTGATGCGGCTACGTTAAGTGACACCAGCCAGCAACAAGAAATAGAGCAACTAAACTAACAACATATGTTGGTCAACAAAACAATGACAATAGCACAAACGAACAGCGACGCAACAATGTCAACAACAAACCACAAGACAATAAATGTACGGTCATGGCACACATAGCAAGGCGTGGACGCAGATGGACACTTCAATGTTCGAATGCTCAACTTGACTCGAGTTGACTTGAGTTGACTCAACGCGAATGCTTCAGTATGTACGGTAGGGCACAAAGTGAATGAATGAAAGGACAATAATGCTGATTAAGCATTTTGCGCAAAAAGTACTCTCATATCAATGTTATACAGTTAATGGAGGGGGAAAAACGAAAAGAAAAAAAAACGGTCATTAAATGTAAATGGCAGTTAAAGCGTCGCACATAAGATTTCGAACATTCACTGAGCTTCAGAAACCCTTCCGCAATAGTGGATTTTATGGATGCGACTCACATTTAAGTGAGTGACGTCTCATAATGATCCACTTACAAAGACCAATACATATCCGTACACATAGTCGTTTTTATATATATTTAGTATTGCATGTGCTTAGTTCTATTGTTTGCGACGGCGGCGTTAGTCTATTATGTTTGGAAATTAAAATGGTAGCTGAGACTGAATCGTTGTTGTTGGCAATTTTGCATAGAGAAGTGCATATTTTGTTTAGCTGCTATGATACACAAAAATGCAACGTTGCACTTACAACAGTAAAGCCCAAAACAGTACAAAAACGTAAAATGACAAAAAAAATTACCAGAGTGTAGGGAAAAAAGTTGAAAAATGCAAATTAACGCATTTGTTGACTGTGAGTGACAGCAATTTACTTAATTTCTGCACATTTACTGCACACAATACCGTTGACATTTTGTTGATTTAAACGTTGAACTTTAAATTTAAATTCAAAAAGGGGGAAACACATTTATCAAGCACTGCATCAAGTGCATTCAATGTGAATTAAGTTATGGGATATTGCGAAACTTTTACAAACTAATTTTATTCGTTAAAATTAGTTCATATAAAATTGAAAAGATATTTTTTTAAAATCAATTTTAAACAAAAGAAAAAACGGTATTATTTACAACATTACTCATTTGTCAAATTTAAATGAAAGTAATTAGAAATTGGTAAAAGTTAATTTTAGTAGGATTTTCGAAAACTATTCTAAAAAATTGATATGTTTTTTTTTAAATTAAATTTGAACAAAGAATAAACCGTATTATTGCACTTTACAACACTATTCATTTGTGAACTGTAGATAAAAATAATAAGCAATTGGTCAAAGTTAATTTTAATGAAATTTAAAAAAAAAATACCTTTATATAATGAATGGTTTATATTTTTCAAACAATTTCGTATGTAAAGACAAACGCTGTTATAGCATTTCACAACACTACTCATTATAGAACTTCAAGTGAAAGGAATCAGAAATTAGTCAGCGTTAATTATAGTGAAATATCCAAAAATGTTTTTAAAAATCGAAAAGATTCTTTTCAAAATAATTTTGACAAAACAAATAATTTATAACCTACTAATCATAATTAGTAGGTTAGGTTAGGTTATACCGGCGATCTTTAGGGAATCCACTTAGGCCTATTGGCCCATTGTGTTACCGTATATAGAGGAAACTTAGGGTTTCGAAATCACCTAGAACATTTGGCGAACTTCCAAAGACTGTTTATGGCAGGTCTTATAATTAAGCAAGGTCATCAAGAAAGAGGGCACCTAAGTATTGAATCACCTCCGTGCATGAGCTAGGGAAAGAGAGAGTAGATGAGAGGCACTTGCCCACAGCTGCGACAGGTATGTTTAAAAGGGAGTTTCAATCTTATACCGTGGTTCCCTAGTTTGCAATGACCTGTAAATAGCATCTCAATGAGAATATTGAGATGCTTCCTTTTAGTGAAAAGTGGTCAGTTTGCATACAGATGCTAGCATATTGGTGATTCATTCCAGCATTTATGGAAATATATATTAAAAATACTAATTACAGGGAATGAAATATTAACCATATTATCACTGCATTGAATTCCTCAAAATTGATTTTTATAATAACAGTTCTAACTTCATTGATCTATTGGGCATATATGAAGCATCTTTTATGAAATCAGATAGTGTTTTTTCTGTTCAAATAGCCACGGTATTATCATGTAAACTCATAAACTGCAATGCGTATCTAAACAAATTCACTTAATGATTGTGTATAAATACGTAAATAAGTGCTTACTTAACCTAGTAGTTCCAGAGACGTTAGTTCAAAACGATTCAGTTTGAAAAGTTAACTTTACTTTTTTAATAACACGATATATAGTTTGTCGGTCTATGACCTACAGATAATGTAAGAATGTAATCGAAGTGATTTCTTTTGAACATATACTTCAAATCGGAGAATTGCCAAAAGGCCTACAAAGTCTACAAAGATAATTATGAAGCCTTTTTTTGACAAAATATTAATACTTTGAACTACTAAATGTCGTACGATATTTTGTTCAAAATTGTAGAATTTTGACCTATAATTGTTTGAGAATTTCTAGATAAAATTTTATATTCAACGTCTGGCGTTCACTGTGAATAATTTTTTTTAATAAAAGAAAATGGTCTATATTATTTTGATTTGCTCTTCTCAAAGCTCAGTTTCTTTCTCTTTTGACCGTTTTATCTCTTCAAGTGACTTTCATGCCGAACTTTTATATATTATATATTATATTTTATATATTATATTTATATTTTCTTCCAACATCGTGTTAAAAGCATCATGTTCCATCATCAACTGCAATGATGGATAAGCTTTACATATATCTTGGTTATATTTTGGTTTTTGCAATGCTAAGATTACCAATATTTTTGGCCATACGTCAGAGTGTGTGTCGCGAACTGATTATGGAACTACAATTCACTTATGTTTTTGACATAAGTTGTGCCTTTTAATATTCCAGTATTTTAAAGGATTTCTATGACGTTCTTGATATTTTGTTCATTGCGAGTGTATTTTGGTAGTCATGCTCGGTCATTCTTTTTAAGGATCTTACTATTGAGACGGAATGCGTCCGAACCAACGAAGAATCTGTACGTGAGGCTTGAATTGATAAAAGTGTGTTTACGGCTGTCAACAGCTGTATAATCTAACATAACTCAATTTAGCACTGTTTTGGGGTATTTCTAATTTTGTATACCAGAGACGGATAAAGTTACTTATCAATTAAGTAAGTAAGTGATTGGATTAAGTTACCAATCCCATCATATATATTTTGTAAAGTTCTTTTTCACTATATGCTCAGCAAACTTTTAGAAAAATACTGATTTAATTTGATTTTACTACATAGCCCAATAGATCAAACAAGTTTTAATCTCTAATATTCTAGATAAATTTACCATACACTTTTTACAAGAATTAAATATTATCGTGGACAATTTGCCCACACACTTATCTGTTTTGAAATAAAACATTATCTTACAACGAGAAGGTATATCCTGCAAAACCGAAATCGTCGATGTATAACAAAGACACACCTATTAAATTAATATTACCATTTTTTTTTTTTTATTAAAACCAATTTTTTTTTTGTTCTTGTGTTAGCTTAAAAGAACTTCATTTAAAATTGCTTTATAGTTTTTAGCTATAGCCTAACTACCATATAACACTTTACAGTATATCGCACATAATTGCTTAGAGTATGTATATCAAAAGAAATAAGTCCTGCTTTATCTAAACTATAATTTTCAAAAGATTTTATTAAATCAAAAGAAGACATTTTATTTTAAATTTAATACATACCCTTCCTTCCTCCTCAACCATTTCCACTCCAGTTCCGTTCTATTATTGTTTTCAACGCCTATTGTTGCTGACACATTTAGGCGGGTAACATAATGCTTTTACTTCCTGAGGCAACATTTACGTAGGACCACTCATTGTGCTGTGTAAATATGTGTACGAAGAAAAACAACAACAAACTGGCACTGTCCAAATCCTGTTTTGTATAAACAATTACACAGCAAAACAGCACAATAGCATAACAACACAAATGCAAAAATAAAAATTCTCCCACACACATGCACTCGTGCAAGAACAAGCAAACATAAACATGAGAGCACATATACAAACTCACATATACAAACTGCCTGCCTGCCCCAAACAAAATGATTCGTACCGCTTTCAAACACTTTTGAAACGTCAATGTAGCAAACTTTTGTCGGATGGGAGCGCAACATTTGTTATTGTTGCTTCAACATTCTTTTTATTTTGTATTATTGCCAAGAGCTCAAAGCTGGCTGTGATATTTGCAGTCTCAACTGTTGCTGACAGATACAAAAAAAAATTATGTCGGATTATTATATGTTTTTTTTTATATTTTTTATTTATATATTTAAGTTTTTGGTGTATTTAATACATTTAAAAATTTAAACAATTTTAATGTTGTTTTAAAATTTTTTTTAATGCTTTAAGAATACAGGTTCAAAGATGGTCCATTCTAATGTGTTTAACGAAAATATACCATAGTTATCTTATCAAATAATGGACTATGTTCAATGCTGTGGAGAGCTATAATTTTACTTAAGGTTGAACATAAATCTAAAAAAAATTTATGATTTTTAAATATATTTTTATATATACATTAAAGAATTCAAACCTATATTAAAACAAAGGAATTTTATTTTAAGGATAAAGTGGGCAGCTGCTTTTTAATTTAAATAAATTTCGAAATATTAAATTATTGATATATAAGGAACAAAACTGAAATAATTTTGGAAGGAATCGACTAGCAAAAAAAGACAAGAACGAAAATTTAGTTCAGTTATTGATATGTGGTTGACCATACAACGCTGTTTCGAATATTGCCAAGTACTCTTCTCAGTGTTCTTAGGAAATATCCGAATTCCTTTGTAATTAGTTTATAGCCCGTATATAATTTTTGGGACTGCAAGTGCCAGGCTTGGAACTTATGCCTGTCAAATTAGAAGCAATAATTTTGCATAAATGATAAAATTTTAGCATTATTAAAGCTTTAATACCCTATGCATCGGTACTTTTGTTTCAAATCAATTATTTATTTTTTAGCTATATTTATTTATTTATAGAAAAAATTTCATTGTAATATAAATATTTAGTCGAGAAAGCAAGTAAATATAGAACTCAAACACTAGACCTTTGTCTTTTTTAAAATTTAGCGCTTTTAATGTCATATTCGACTGGCAATCTAGCGTAACTTTTTCACTCCAGACTTAATACAGTTCTTATTGTGGTTAGTAACTTCATTGGTTAATATCAGGCAAAATGTATAACACTTGAGATTAATTATCAACACTCGAGATATTTTGTAAATTAATAAAATTAAACTGAAATTAACAGCTCTTATATATTATTTGGTAATTGAAATGTGTTTGGTATTTTAAATATTTGAATTATTGTGTATAGTGTGAAAAATGAAATTAAAATAATACCACAAAACAAACTAAAAATATATAAAATAATAAAATAAGTGGTACTGACTTGTCAACATATGTGGTGCTGTCAATTGATGTTGGTATTACCCCAAAATAAAATCAATTTAGCCACAAAATTCGAGCAAAAAATGACAGATAAAGAGTAAATCCAGATTTGAATATCGAAAACGATATAAAATAATTATTTCGTGTTGATTTTTGCATGATAGCGTCTACAGTTTGATTTATACCATATTTATTGGCCACAATAGTATACACAGAAAGTGTTTATTTTTAGGATTCGTTTGATTAGCTCTATTAGTTAATGAGTATATTACTAAAAGATTGGTAGAGAGAGAGTCGTATTTTTGTATCTCTTACGATTGTAGAAAATAATGCTATAAAACCATACATAAAACTAATATTAATTATATTCTTTTATATTCATTGCGGATTTTGAAATTTTAATGCTTTTCCCTTATCTTCCACACTCTAGCTTTCCACATGCATCGTTTTTAAAGACAATAAAATCACAAAGTAGTTGTTTTAATTATTCAACTTCAGCGTTACATCAAGAAAGAAATTCTCACTTGCCGCTTGCAGTTCGTTTGGAAAAATTTCGTCAGAAACAACAACGTCAGCAACAGCAGCCCACACAACAACAGCAACAACAGCAACAAGAAGAACAACAACAGCAACCGAAACAATATCAAAAAAGTGATGAACCAACCTTATCAGCAATTCATATAAAGAATAGCATTAACAACAACAATAAAAATTGCAACACTTTTTCCACCTATAAAAGGTCACCGACGTATTGGGGATTATCAGCTGCGCAAACAAGCGAAGCAACATTAGGGCAAAAGCTTAGCAATAATATATTCAACAACAACAATAACAGCAATAGCAGCAATTATAACAACAACTACAATAGCAACAAAAGCATTTTTATTGATTTAGCAAATAGCGATAATTTTGCAAAAAGTACTGAGGTATATGAAACAGATAATAGCAATAACAACAAAAACCACGACAGCCACGACAACGACAAGAGCAAGAGCAACAGCAACAGCAACTACAGCTATGCTCAGCAGCAACAATTTCAATTGCAAGGCTCCAGTTTAGTTGCAAACGAACCAGAAACATTAACGGAACAAACTTTTAAACGTGCTCATGATAACACAAAAACTAAACGTGTTATTATACGTAGGCGTGTTATTAAAACAAGCAAAGATAGAGACAATACATTAGCGACATCAGCAACTACAGCAGCAACAAAAGCAACAGAAACAACTATAAGGTCCAACAATAACAAATTAACGGTTGCATTTGATATTCGCCAGGAAAAGGAGAACTGGTTCAAATGTTTACTTAGAGTTTTAGGCTTATTAACCATATACAAATATGTCACTAACTTAGCAAGTGCACAAACCAATGCAGAAGCTGAACTTGTAACTGCACCAACAATAACAACAACAACAAAAAGTTCTAATAATAGTTGCAGTACTTCTAACATTCCCAAAGAAACGAAACAAATCAGTTTTAACATGTCTGTTTTACGTACGATGAAACTTAAGGAACGTCTGGCTATAAGCCTTGGCGCTACACTCATATTACTCACATTACTGCTGGTGGTAGATGTGCAGATGGATTTCGGGGTGACAAATCGTCACTTCTTGCCAACACAGTATCAGCACGAACGCATGAGATACGTGAACGACAATGATGGTGTCGGTGTATTCCGAGATTTTAAACGAAAATTCTTACTGAAGAGGTAAGTTCATAAATCGAATATAAAAATCATGAATATATTGTCTTTAAAAATATTGTCAAATAACTATTTTATACCACTTTTAATATGTTATCTACTTATTCTATTTGTAAGTTAGTTGAAGGCAAATGTATGGGATATTGAGGAAGAATATCCGATTTGTTTGTCTATTTATTTGTCTATTTGTAAGTCCTATAGTAACATACATAGTTCCAAGCAAATATAAGGGACTTCGTAAAAAAAAGCATATATATAAATGGTTCAATTTATATGCTTAACGTTTAATTAAATTAACTTACCTAAATTTTCTTAAACTAAACCAAGATAAAATTTAAAAACTAAAATATTAATCCTCCTAACTGTATAATAATACAGAATAAAATATGACAAGGATATCAATGCAGGGGAACACTGTGACTATATTATGAATTTCTATGAAGAACTGATCCTAACCAAACAGAAAGTAGGAAAGTAAGTAGGGTTTAGTTGAAAGAAACAATGATTTTGGTTAAGAATTGTCTATCATTAAACGGAAGTCTTATGAGAGTCTTCTACTTTATTATATTCCTCCTGAAGCAATACCAAATGACCCTAGCCGAACTGAAAGCAGGAAGCTCCATTCTGCTCATCCAGAAACAATGACAAAGTCGAATAGTTGTTTAAATTTTGTTTAGACGTCTAATTTTGTAATGTATATTAAAATGTTCCGAATGGGCTAGAATAGAATAGCAAATAACCAAAGTATTTCTATCTGGTAATCAAGGAAGAACCCATCTAAGTTTTAACAAGAGTAAGGTTGTGTTTGTATAACTGTAGCTGAGATTATGAGTATCTTAGTGTTGCTAGTTTATAAAACTAAACTAGTCAATTTACTTAACATCATCGAAAATAATTCAGAATGTTGACATGATACGATTGTAGAGGTTATCTCATAGGACCACTATCTGAAATATAAACCAGTTTCTCAGTTGTTCAAATGGTTACTCCTCTAAACAGTGTTTTTATCTAAACAGTGTTGAAGCTAGTTGAGTCAGTGCACTTGAGCACTTTTACTCTCTATTAACTGTTAACACTAAAATAAAAATAAAATCTATTCAAAAACAACCCATACATAGGTCATCCTCAGTAAAGGAATAATACTGCCTTGGTTTTTGTACTATGTATAGATTTAAGGAGCTAAGAGATTTACACAATATGTTCATTTGCCCTATTACCGACAAAATAATTAAAGTAAATATTTAAATTGTTGGTTTTTTTTAATATTGTATTAATAGCTTCTGCTTTTTAGAAAAATTTTCCTTTTTTCCTTCAAATTTTTTAAAATATTTTATAGTTTTTTTTATTCATTTCCTTTATCCTACGTATTTTAATATAAATAACAATATCTCAGTTTTGAACCTTTCTTTGAATGATAATACTGTTTAGAATATTTTTTTAATTCTTCTTTTAACTATAAAAAACACAATAAAGATATTTTTATGTAGAATAATATTTTTTTAAAGATTGTACAAGAACTTAAATAGAATTGCAATTGAAGCAAGTAATTATTTTCTCTTGAAAATATTTAAAAAAAAAAAATGTGAAATAAATTAGAAGAGTACTTACACAAATTAAAATTTTAATGTATCTAAATAAAATAAAAAACAATTTTTGTTTTTTTTTTCGTCAATTGACATTATTTAGAGTTCAGTTCCGACGTACCCGCAAAAATAGTGCAAGTAATCTAATTAAGGAACTAATTACTGAAGCATTGCACATTTGAACGAGAACATTTCCATGAATTCCTTTTCAACAAATTCACTCACAAAAACTTTTCATTTGCCATCAGACTGAATTAAAAACAAAAATCCTTCCAAATTTAGTTCAAAATCTTTAATGTACTTTTTCTGAGTTTGCTTTGCATTATACTTATTTGTATCCTTAAAATTGTTTTTTTCTACTCGTAATTCTGTGGATTCCTAGTTTATTTCGTTTCACTTGATTTAGTCTTGCTACTCACTTGATTTTGTCTTGCGGATAATTAGGACATTGGTTTTCCACGTCAAAAGTTTAACGCCTTCACGACAGCCAGGATATCGAAAAGTTTTTAAATACGAAGAAAACTAAACCAAAATTGAGACATTCTGACTAAATAAGAAAATGTCTTGGTAATGATTTTTTTATTATTTAACAAAAAAAAGCACAATAAAGCAAATTTCCTGTCACTATTGAACTTTTTCGTTTCCGAAGTAGCAGTAAATTTGAAAGCACTGCAAATTTGGCTCCAGAAACTATAATTGTACTTGTAGAGTTTCAAGTGTCCTTATATCGAAAAATTGTGATTTGGAATATCAACAAAAATAAACAACAACGAAAAAGCGAGACCACAAAGCATGCGGCGTCAGCTTGTCTTGGCAAAAGAAACTTTTCTTAAATATATTTTCCGGTGATGTTGTGGCCTCAAGTTTTCGCAAAATTTTATTTTTCTTTTAATTTTTTTTTCTAATTTTTATATTTAATATAATTTGTTTTATAAATAATTTAATTGATAGGTAAGTTTTTTTATACATTTTGGACTGAAATCAAAAATGTAAGCTTATAATTTAGTGGTATTTTAAATTAGCTATTAAAAACTAACTAAGCTTGCTTTATAATTAACATTGATTTATTTCTCAATACATATTATACTCCATCAACTTCAGAGTCGCCTCTGTTTGATTTTTTCGCTTATGTTACCGTAGTTTCTAGTTTGATAAATATTTTGACCACAACTTCCTAGATATATGTTGAGCTAACTTGCCGATTTCTACTATTTATTTCAAAATAATCTCCTTTTGACATTGTGCGCTTTTGTCAAAATAGTTTTCAGTTTGAAAAAACTGAAATTAGAAGAGAGAGACAAAGAAAAACACAGAAACAGAGAGAGAGAGTTAGAAACAGTGGGAGAGGGAAAGAGAGAGAGACGGAGAAAGAAAGACAAAGTGAAAGAGAGAAAGGGAGGGAGAGAGGGAGAGAGAGAGGAAGAAAAAGAGAGAAAGAGAGAGTGAAATATAGAGTGAACGAGAAAGAGAGAGATAGAGGTAGACACAGGGAGAGAGAGAGAGAGAGCAATAGAAGTACAGGTAGAGAGAAGGAGAGAGTAAACTTTTAAGCGGAACTTTGCTTCATCAATTTTTGTTTCTATCTTAAAATTACTTGTGAAAATGTTGATAGTATTTCATTTTGAAACGTTCTCATTTGTCATAAAAACTACTCAGTGTACTTTCCAAATATTGTAACTAATTACTTGATATTTGTATTCCGAAACAATCTAAAAATTCGTTATGTCAAGATGAAAATTTATGGATTAAAAAAATTCTTCACTTTTATATCCCTTTTTCTATATAAAAATATAGGTTCCTGACATAATATATACAATTTTAAATTATATGCTGAAAGGTTGTACTGAGTCCTTGGGTAAACATATGATATAAATCAGTATCTTAACAAATGTTTGAAGGTAGAATTGTGAAAGTGAAGAAAATTATGAATAGATCTTATATAAAACTCTGATACGTACAAGAAGTACTAGTACTATCTAGTACTATATCTAGTACTAGATATTTTAGTCATATACTAGAAGTTTCTTGACATCAAAAGAAGTCAAAAACCCGATTTTGAATGTGGAATAAGTATAACCGTGTTGACTGTTATGTAATACAGGTGGTTATGCTATAAATGACGTATAAATAAATTATTGTTGTCTGCACTATTTTAAAGATCATTTCAATAAATCTTGTTTAATATGCCTTCAGATAGTTTATTCAGTTACTTACAAGTACATTAGGCTATTAATTAGGTAAACTTGGTGGTCTATATTATAGGTATATAGGTATATGGCTATATTATATATATAATATGGTTATGTTAGATTAAGTAACTGCTGCTATATCACTGCGTAAACGTACGTATATAGCCGTTTTGATACTATTAGGCTCCTATTAAGAAAATCTTCACCGCTCCTTTTAAAACCAACTACAGTACCATATTAATTTCAAAATAAAAATATATATACAAAAAATACTATGACATATTAACTAATGTGTGTTATATTTTAATTAACAACTCATAGAAATTGTCAAGAGTAGCAGAAAAGATTCAGTAAAATAATAATAAATAATTGATTTATGACTACATTTTCTTATTGCAGATTATGCATTAGTTCTAATTAATAAAACAATAAATACAATACTTGTTTATGAATAAACAATAAAAGTTGATAAAACTCTTAATTTAAATAAGGCAATTGAAGTGTGGGTTGACTTTTGTGTGACAGAGTTGAATCCTTGACAATTACAGTGCAATAAATATAAACGGAAAATGAAATCAATTGATTTCTTCACATAAATATTTGCCTGATGATGAATATTTTTCGATATGCGAAACAGATATATGTATATGGCCAACAGCAGAAATCTCTTGATTAAAAATTTCTTTGGGATTTGAAAATTTCCTCAATCTTTTCTAATTTTAAGTTAAAATTAATTTCTAGTCAAAGAACATAACATTCTTAACTTTTGTTTGTAAAGTAAATTACTTATAATTTTTTTATATATCTTATTATTGTGTTAATATAGCTATCAAATCAAGGTGTGTAACATAACTTCAGTCCATCATTGAGTGTGCCTATTTCTCTTAATACTTTATAAATCACTTTTAAATGTTACATATATGAATCTTGTATTTGATTTACTCACTCAAACTAAAGTGATAACTTTTAATTAGAAGTGCAATAATTAATGCATAATTGAAAATTACAACTTACGCTTTGGATTCATTTCAAATCCTCTTCTTGCCAATTGAGTTCCACAATATTAATGCTTGGTGGTTTTGGCCCATAGCAATTGTGCTGAGAATAAACTTTATTAACTTCACAACGAAACTAGGTTAAAAGCTACGTTATTTAGTATACCCGTTGGCAATTTTAATATTCCTTGAAACTGCATTGGTCAGTGTTTTAATTTATTCCCATATTTATTTAACGC